ATATTTAATTAACATTGAATCAATACACACTTATATCAATGATTTTTCACACCAATTTATTTTCAAAAAGGTTATTATGTCGGGTTTCAATTTTGCTTGACATAAGGGATCATACTATCTTTTGATATTTCTCTATGGGAAAATCAATGTTAGTGTGTGTTCCCTTTTCTTTTTCCTGTTTGTTTGTTGGTAAATTCTTTTGCTTTGACATGAAATGATATACACTCATTTCCCAATTTTAGTGCATGCTAAAAATAACATACAAACCCTACTAAAACCATAGAAATTGTTGCCCTTAAATATTGATTAAAAAAAAAGACAGATTATTGACATATGTGGTCAACATATGTTAAATTAACAATAAACAGTCTCAACCTAAATTGGTTAAGAGCTTTCATGTTAACCAATCATCATTGTGTTTTAATATGAAAATATTTCATTGGAAAAATTTAATAAATCTTTAACTATTATAGTTATATGATTAAAAATTCTACAAATTAGTGCAGGACACAAAATAGTGGAATTGAATTTGAATAGAAGTTCCCTTTGACTTAATAAGTTCAATTGGATTTTTTTTTTTAATCGCTTTCAGCTTCTGAAATCGTTAATACTTGACATAAATTTGGATAAAAATTCAAATAAAACGAAATATTATTATCTTGCTTTATGTTGGTATTTTTTTGCCATTGTCAAGTATAATTAGAATAACTGATCTGATATCCCCAATAAATTGTTTTCCCATTTGAATTTTATGCTTAATTTTTACTAAAATATGATTATATTCTAGTAGTAGTTAGTACTAAGCTAGCTAAGAAAATATCTTGCAAGAGTTGTAACAGTAATTTATGTGATGAAATTTTATCTTGATGATGATTTTATAATTAAGAGTTTTAACTTTTAAGGCATCTTTTACATAAATAAATAATAATTAAAAAAAAATCCTGGCAAGCGCCCACCATGAAGATTTTTGAATGGGCTTATCTTAAATAACTGGGACTAGCATTTTTCAATCATTTGGGCTTTGATTTGCAATGGGTTTCCAACATACTTGTCCAAACTTAATGGGCCGTTTTGATGTTCATTTTTCCACTTAAAAGTACATCTACCGACTAAAACTGAACACGTGGATGTTAGATTTTATTCTTTTCACATATTGTATTTAAATAATAATATTGCAAACAAACCTAAGTAATAAAATATCAATAGATGTATGATTAAATTTGAGAAAGATCGAAAAAATTCAGCGCGTAGCCGCGTAGGATCTAATCCTGAAAATAAAAAAAACTAATCCCAAGACTTTTTCTGCCATCAAAGATCAATTTCGAAATGAGTTTGTTGGT